AGCTCTCAACTGAATATTTTTTAAATACATCACTCAGTTAAAAATTGTTAGCGTAGGGGCGCCTGGGTGGCTCAGTTGGTTAAACGACTGCCTTCGGCTCAGGTCATGATCCTGGAGTCCCGGGATCGAGTCCCGCATCGAGCTCCCTGCTCAGCAGGGAGTCTGCTTCTCCCTCTCATGCTCTCTGTCTCTCATTCTCTCTCTCTCAAATAAATAAATAAAATCTTTAAAAAAAAAAAAAATTGTTAGCGTAGAGACTACTTCTATTCGACAACTCACAAAAATAAATAATTAATTAGTTAAAAAAATTTCCAAGTTACATGTCCTCAGTTCTCCAGGAGATATAGAATAGCTTTAAAAACAGCAGGTCAATCTGTAGGAAGTAATAACAAGTGTTGGCAAAGATGGGGTCAAACTGGAACCCTTACACACTGCAGGTGGGAATGTAAAATGGTGTAGCCAGTTCCTCAAAAGCTAAGCATTATGTTACCATATGGCCCAGAAATTCCACTCTTAGGTCTATATCCATGAGAACTGAAAATACATTTCCATGCAAAAACTTGTATGTGAATGAAGTTTACAGTAGCATTATTCATAATAGCTAAAGAATGGCAACAACCAAAATGTCCATCAATGATGAATGGATAAACAAAATGTGGTATGTCCATACAGTGGAGTATTATCCAACCACAAAAGGAAAAGAAGTGCTGATATATACTACAACATGGATAAACTGAAGATTATGCTAAGTGAAAGAAGCCAGTCACAAAGGACCACATATCATATGATTCCATTTCATGAAATGCCCAGAATAGGCAAATTCACAGAAACAGAAGTAGATTAGAGGTAGCCAGGGGATGGTTGAGTTGGGGAGAAATGAGAAGTGACAGTTAATAGATAAGGGAGTTGCTTCTGGATGTCATGAAAATGTTCTAAAATTTATTGCGGTAATTGTTGCACAACTTCGTGAATATACTAACAGCCATTGAGTTATACGCTATAAATAGGTGAATTATATAGTCTGTAAATTAGATCTCAATAAAGCTGTTATTTAAAAAAAAAAAAAAGATAAGCAGGCTTTTGGACTGGGACCCCCAGGAACCACTACATCCTGAAATTGGAATGAGTCTGCCTCCACTGCCTGTAGCAGGTGCTCCTCGCAGCCCACCTTCTTCACAGATTCCCATGGCTGACCTCCCATTCAGCTTTGCTTTATTTATGAGATGATAAGGTTGCAGTAAGCAATTCTGCAAGCAACCTATTCAGTACCACTTTAAAAACATTAAATTACTGCGTCATCAGAAGAGGCAAAGGAAACCAGCTTACAACAACCGGCTGTGATGAGATGCTTTCCAACAGATACAGAGGTCAAATGCCCTGCAAGTTAGGACCCACATTGGCTCACTCACAGCAGGCAGATTAGCTTTCAAGAAAAGTAAAAACCTGGCATATCTGCTTAGGGTTTTGTGCCCGGGAAACACCTGAATTACTTTCCATTCCTCTCACTGCACTAGGATGGGAGGTGTAAAGCACCTAATAGAAGCTAGCCTTTTATTTATTTATTTATTTATTTATTTTAAAGATTTTATTTGACAGAGAGAGAGACAGCGAGAGAGGGAACACAAGCAGGGGGAGTGGGAGAGTGAGAAGTAGGCTTCCTGCAGAGTAGGGAGCCTGATGTGGGGCTCGATCCCAGGACCCTGGGATCATGACCTGAGCTGAAGGCAGACGCTTAACGACTGAGCCACCCAGGTGTCCCTAGAAGCTAGCCTTTTAAAAGACATTATCTTCTTTACACCAACCCTATCTGAGATACGATACTATCCCCATTTTATAGGCAAGGCAATAAACTTAAATTCCAACAGAAACCATTTAAAGGAAGCCACCACAGGTTGCAGAGTGGTCCGACCCCACAGGCCATGCGGTACCCCCTTCCCCACGTGGCCTCCCTTTTCTGTGCATGGGCAGAGGCAGAAGTGCTTCTGTGAACACTCAAGAGAACCCAGGGCAGAAGTTTCCAGTGGCTTTGAACCACCTCTCTTGCCCCAGGACACCCCTGCCCATTGGATGGATTTGTGGTCTAAGTCCCTAAAGTCAGGAGTAGACAGAAATCCATCCGTCACTCACCAGGACAGATATAAACCTCAAAATAATTTGTTTTCCAACGGTTTCAGCTTAAAGTTCTGGTTTGGCATTGGCTTTTTAACAGCTAACAGCTGTAGGCAATTTTCACACAGAATAAAGACATCAATAAGGCAGAGAGTGGAATTTTCTCCCTTATGAATACAGAACAATGAGCTGTCTTCAAGATGTACATGGAGCTGCCACCACACGGCCTCTGGCTTAGGTCTCATTTTGAGTCTGATAGAATACAATTGAAAAGACAGTGGATGTGGGTGCTTTGAGGTGCTAGCTCTGCCTGCCAGCTCCGTTACCACCACGAAGGCCTTCATCTATCAGCGACATCTATCTCTTTAGGCTGACTTTTGGTTTTAAAATAGTTTTAAGTGGGAAATAAAACCAAGCCCGTGAATACATCATTATTGCCCTTCTTGATAGCCATCATGGTAGATGATTCACTGCCTCTCCCTGGAAAAGGATTATGTGTCCTCCACCCCCCACCCCCCAGTGACCTCAGGACTGTCCATGCAATTTGCAGTGCCAACCTCTACAGAAGAATGATCCATCCTTACTCTGTGAACTCAGGAGTGGCCAGGTGATTTTCAATGGCCAAAGAAATGTGGGCAGAAGTGTCATGTATCATTTCCAAACATGAGCTTAGAGCCTGCTAGCATTTTACCATGTCTCTCCTTCCTCCTTCACCAGGCTTGGGTCTTGGATGGAAGATGATGAGAAACAGAATCACAGCTAGACATGTAGCATTAACAAGTGCTAAGCCACTGCCATTCGTAACCACTGAGGTTTTGCTATCACAGGATGAACTACCTGAAGATGACTGAGACAGCCATTAACACAGACCCCCTTCACTTTTTTTCTCACCTTCAATCGCTCCTCACAGCTCACCTCCTCCAGAAAGTCTTCTGTGACTACCCTCCTCATCACCATGTCCTACACCTCACAACACATCTATACACAATCTATGCAGAAGTAGGTTGTGCTTCTTCCTTTAGTGGTGTTATACCTGTATCAGTCCCCTTTTGCTACTGAAACTATCAGCTGTTTAGGAGCAGGTTCTAGTTTTCCATTTTGAACCTCCCGATTAACACCTAGAACAGAGTCTCTGCATGCAGAGGCGGGAGAGGAGAGAGATTTCTTTTTCTTTTTTTTTTTTTTAAGATTTTATTTATTGGGCGCCTGGGTGGCTCAGTTGGTTAAGTGACTGCCTTCGGCTCAGGTCATGATCCCGGAGTTCCGGGATCGAGTGCCGCATCCGGCTCCCTGCTCAGCGGGGAGTCTGCTTCTCCCTCTGACCCTCCCCCTTCTCATGCTCTATCTCATTCTCTCTCTCAAATAAATAAATAAAAATCTTAAAAAAAAAAAAGATTTTATTTATTTATTTCACAGAGAGAGACACAGCAAGACAGGGAACACAAGCGGGGGTAGGGGGGTGGGGGGTGGGAGAGGGAGAAGCAGGCTTCCCACTGAGCAGGGAGCCCGATGCAGGGCTCGATCCCGGGACCCTGGGATCATGACCTGAGCCGAAGGCAGACGCTTAACGACTGAGCCACCCAGGTGCCCAAGGAGAGAGATTTCTTAAACACTGAAAATATTCATCAACGTCATAAAATACAAACATGCTGCCAAGAGCCATTTCTTCCTTTTCCCAACCAATTTTGGTTGGTAACAGGCCCGTTAATCCACTCAGGAGACCAGAACTCAAACACCAGCTTCATAGTACCCTCTCATATTGGCTTATCTCATATGATAAGCTTATAGGGTAAATTCTGGTCTAGAAGAGCTGGACTGATCTGATCAGTTCAGATATTAGCCCTGGAGGGCAGTAACAAAACCTATGTTACTTTCTTGACCTAAGAGTCATGAAAAATGATAGTACTTTCTAATATCTGTTGAACAGATATAAATGGTCCGATTAGAACTAACTCCATTACAAAATGCCAGTGGTGATAAAGGGAGGATAGAGTACTCATGTAACATTTATTGAGCACCTAATGAGGGTCAGGCATTGGGCCATTCCCACTATGTAAATTCTTCTTAGACACTACATCAAACTAGGAGGAGGCATTATTTTTTTCTCACTTTCCAGAAAACAGGCTTATAGGCTTTTTCCATAATAAAGTCGGAACAGTAATTCGAACCAACGTCTTCCTAATTTCCATGCCACTACCCTTTAAACTGTGCCATAATATCCCCAAAAACATAGAATGGAAAGAAACATTACTTCAGAAGTGCCTGAAAAGCTAAGCTAAAGAAAGCACTTACATCTTTTGATGAATGGGTCCTATACCAGATACATCTCTCACTTCAGTATAGTGGATTCTAAAATATGATAGGATCTATAAAAAGTTTCCCACAACAGTTATTATTACAATCCTATCATTAGGATAAATAATTATACTGTACTTACATAATAATGTCCTTCATCAAAGGATCGAGGACAGGAGGAGGAGTATGACTAATTTTTAAAAAGACATTAATACTATACATTGAGAGTAGGGGTGGAGAAAGCATTAGGGAATTGTGGAAGGTGTGAAGCAGATGAGGGAATTATTTATGCACACAATATAGACTCAGACTGGAATGGGGAAGAATAGAAAGAGCAACTTAGGATGCAGTTCTGCCACATATTTGAAGACCTAAGGGTCTAAATCCCTCCACTTAAAGCAAAGCCCTTCAATGTGGTAATGCTACCCTCTTCTTTCTCTTCCTCTGGAGGCTCAGTGCTCACAGTTGGGGTGCCAATATAAAGGGGTCATTTCACTGAAAAAGGGCCAAGCCCATGGCTAACCAAACCAAACCATGCACATCCTCTCCCTACTCCTGGCTCTCAACCACTGCCAGGAAGGAAGTTGGGGACTCACCACAAGTTCACTGAACATGACATCCAGCTCCTCCACAGGGGGCATGGGTAATGCTGGCTCCATGGTCTGAAGCGCAAAGTTGCTATCGTTTCGCAGCCGATAGGTGATTTCTGGGTGATCATTATTTCGGAAACAGCAGAAGATGAACGAGATCCCCCGTCCACCTCTCTTCCTTGGGGCCATGGCTGAATTCTGTTCTATTTCTTGAAGTGACTAAACTCTGCAAAAAAGAAGACAGGACATGGTTAAGGAAGAAAAAAATGGGTAAGTTTTTTTGTTGTTTTTGTTTGTTTTGTTTTTTAAGTCAGTCCAATTCAAGCAGAGACCTCTTCACTGGAGACGGTTGATATGGCCCTGTAGGGCACAGAGAGGACAACCCCAAGTGGATTTGGAGTCCAGCTGGGCAAAGAGCACATCCTTCTATTCACTTGTTGAATGTTTCCTGTGACCAACTGCTGAGCAAACAGTACAACCCTACCCCTGCATGACACAGCATATGCCCCCAATCGCACTGGGCTACTGGCCATTCTTTGCCTATCACATGCTCTTTCTTGTCAACCCGTCTTGTTCTTTAACTCCCCTGCAAGAATGACCTGCTCTTCCTCACCCCTAGGAATCTAGGATCTCTTACCCTTTAAAGTTTGATATCAATTTCTTCTTTTCTACCTTCCCAAAGTAGAATTAATGATACGTATGCTGAGGCATATCTATTCATTCCAGCTCATATCACATTCTAAGTTCCTCAAGAGAGTACGTTCCTGTTAGACCATGATTAACTCCAAGTCAAGGGAAGGAACTGTACATCAAGCAAATTGTTGGCACTCATGCCCTGCACAGTGCCAGGAAGGAAGGAGGCACTCAGTTACTGTTTATCATGTTGAATAATTTAAATTCATAACAAAGGAAGAGTGACTTCAGATGAACTAGAAGATTCAGAGATTTTCAGACAGAAAAGATCAAATGAGTTCACCAATAAGGACATGGTTATAGTATATTCACATAATAGAACACTGTGTACTCATTTAAAAATAAGGTATCTGTACATGTAGATATGGAAACATGTTCAAGATGCTGTATGATATATATACTACAAGATTATGTTTTAAAGAATGTATATACGTACTTATGAATATATATAAGAAAGGGCTAATAATAGCAGTAGCCTGTAAAATAAAAATAGGGGACTGGAGAACTATTCCTTTTCATTTTGTACACTTTTGAATTTGAATTTCTACCACAAAATTAGATTTTTAATGATTATATAGTTTAAGATTACAATTATATGTACTCCCTTGGGAAAATTCCCAAGTTGTACTGTCAAGTGAAAAAAGCAAATCAAAGAATTAATGATGTGTACAACATGATGCCATATGGCTTTTTAAAAACAATCTCATACAATGATACAAACTCCAGTAAAAGTTCTCATAAATAACTAGGATTTGCAAACACTTCTAGAGTCAAGATCCTGCTCACTTAAGGGACAGTGGTCTCAGGAAGCTGGCAATTAGAATGGGAAGGGGAGGGAAATGTTAAGGGCAGCGTGTCCCTCTTGTAGCCCTATGTGATGATCCAACCGGCTCTGGAATAAAGACTTGGCTGAGACATCCAATATCTCAATCTGTTGAAGTATACACCTCCTGGCCTAGAGTGTACTTGTGCAAGGCTACAGGAGGCAATACGCAGTACCTGGGATTCCTTTGGCAAATGTGTGTTAATACCTATTATATACCAGGCACTATAAGCACCTAAAGATACATCAGTGAAATGGGTCACTAGGAGCTTATAATCCGGTGAGAAAGTAGTGCACCAAATAGTTGTAACAAAGGTCATATGGCACATCATACCAGTCAGTGCTATGTAATCAAGCATAAAGTCCACTGGGAAGAATCTGGGAATGGTATCTGATGGATGAGTGGAGCTTTGATAGATTATGGAAAGCAGAGCATTTTGGAACAGTGCAAACAAAGGCACAAGGTGGGAAGGCCAAGTTTTTATGCTGGCTCTTCTGTGTAACTCCAAATACAAGGTCCTCCATTAAATCCATCTTTAAACTGTAGATGATGGCAAAGCGTTGAGATTTCCAACAGGCTGCCATTTTTAATACACATTATTTGGAATTCTGCTGATCAGAACCTAGTCTCCCAGATACAGACCAAAATGGAAGCAAAATAATCATCCCATGACCCCTCAGTGGCAGTAGACACTTCTGGCCGACCCTCCTTAACTGCTCTAGCACATCACAAATGAGAAAGTAATCCCAACAGCTGCCTGTGTGTGTATGTGATTTTACTAAGCATATTCACACCCATCACTTCATTCCATCATCCTCATTTCACATGTTGGACCTAAGGAGGGACTTGGGAGGGAGTGGGGCAGTTAGGAAGAGAGAAGTTAGAGACTTGCTTTGCTGGGAAACATCAGGAGATGTTGATTGGAGAAGCCTGGTTGGGAATGGGGCAGGGAAGCTTGACAGAGGTCAGGGAACCTGCATGCTTAATCCAATTGGAATCCAATCCCCACCCTCTCCAACCTCCAGGCCATGACCTTGGTTCAGCCTCCCCTTATCTCTCACCAAAATGACTACAAGAGTTCTTCAATTCTTCTTTTTGGCCCATGATTCCCCAGTCTAGGGGTTGACAAACCTTTTCTGTAAAGGGCCAAATAGTAAATATTTTAGGCTTTGTGGACCCTTAAGCCTCTATCACAACTAGTTAACCCTGCCATTTTATTATGAAAGCAACCACAGGCATCTTTAAAAAATGGGCATGCTTATGTGCCAATAAAACTTTATTGTAGACACTGAAATTTGAATTTTTTTTTTTTTAAGATTTTATTTATCGGGCGCCTGGGTGGCTCAGTTGGTTAAGCGACTGCCTTCAGCTCAGGTCATGATCCTGGAGTCCCGGGATCGAGTCCCGCATCGGGCTCCCTGCTCAGCGGGGAGTCTGCTTCTCCCTCTGACCCTCCTCCCTCTCATATTCTGTCTCTCATTCTCTCTGTTTCAAATAAATAAATAAAATCTTTTAAAAAAAAGATTTTATTTATCTATTTGACAGAGAGAGAGACAGTGAGAGAGGGAACACAAGCAGGGGGAGTGGGAGAGAAGCAGGCTCCCAGGTGAGCAGGGAACCCCGCCAGAACCCTAGGATCATGACCTGAGCAGAAGGCAGATGCCTAACGACTGAGCCACCCAGGCGCCCTGAAATTTGAATTTCATATAACTTTCTCATGTCACAAAATATTTTTTTTTAATTTGTTTTATAGACCATACAAAAATAGGTGGTGTGCCCAAGAAGGCCCATGGGCTGCAAGTCATCAACAACTGCCCTAGTTCATCATATTCATCATTTAATTCATTAACTCAAAAGTTTGTTGAGTCCTGGGGTGCCTGGCTGGCTCAATCGAAGAGCATGAGACTCTTGACCTTGGGGTTGTAAATTTGAGCCCCACACTGGATGTTAGAGATTACTAAAAATAAATAAACTTTTTATTTTATTTCTTTTAATTTTTTTTAATGTTATGTTAGTCACCACACAGTATATCATTAGTTTTTGATGTAGTGTTCCATGATTCATTGTTTGCGTATAACATCCAGTGCTAATAAACTGTTTCTTAAAAAAAAGCTTGTTTAGTACTGATTATGTGCCAAACACTGTGCTAAGCACTAAGGAAAGAGGGACGAAAATGAGATGATGTACCCTTCAGGGAGTTTTAGAAAAACTGTTTGTTTGGGAAAAGGCATGGAAAAAAAACAAGTAAACTAAACTATATTAATTTTAATTAGTGTTACAGGGGATACAAGAAGAAAGTGAAAGAAAATGGTAGGATGCTGGTGGTGGTGGTAGAGACAGCGACTTTCCATACTGTTTAATACTGTTTCAATACCGTTGAATACTGATCATGGACAGCCTTTCCAAAGAGAGGGCATTTAAGCTGAGACCTAATGGATAAATGGAACTAGCCCTGCAAAGTGTTGGGGGAAGAGGACTCCAGGCAGAAGGAGTATATGCAGAAGCCCAGAGCAGGTGGGGAACTTGGCACCTCTGAGTCAGGGAAGGAAGACCAGTGTGGCGGGGGCGTAATGAGTAATGGCAGTATTGAGAGAGAAAAAGCTGGAGAGGGTAGGAGCCCAGACCCCAGGGCCTTGCCCACCGGAGGGAGGAGTCTGGGATTTATTCTCAGCACATCATAAATCTGACTGTGTCACTCAGCTCTGCAGTGTCTCCTGGATACAGTGCAGCTTCCGGCATGGACCATAAGACCCTCCATGGCCTAGCCCTTGCCTACTTTATTTTCTACCCTTGCCTTCCAATATCATGAACACTGCCCACTCACATGCCCCCCACACACCTGTGTACGTATAGAAATCATACCTTGACAGGAGTCACACTTCTGAGCCCACACATCCATAGTTCCCTCAGCTTAGAGCGCTCTTTTCCTTCTGTACCTGACCATCTTCCACTCACCATTTAAGACCCACTCAAATACTACTATTTTAATGGGCCTTAGGTTTCCCAGAAATGGTCACACATTTCTTTTCACAGCCCAAGCACCATATACATAGTTGAGTGTTTTTTGGTTGTCTAGATTTTTTTTAAATTCATGTCTGTTTTCCCCACTGGACTATGAGATCCTGAAGACAGGGACTAGGTTTCATTCAGTCCCTGGCACATGGTATATTCTCTATAAATGTTTGTTGAATGCAAAGACATAAATGCCTAAGTGAACAGATGGTCTCGTGTCTGAACTTCAGGGTTGTGTGACTGGGTGTTCTTCCCACAGTTGCCTGCAGATCTGTTTTTCAGAAATGCCAAGACATGTAAAGTCAATCACACCGCCAAGTGCTCCTTAGCCACTTGTCAAGCTTTCTGATGCTGACAGGAGCCTCACAGACTTCATCCTCCGGGTATCTGCAGCTTCCCTTGAGCAAGGAGCTTCTTTCTGGCTGAACTAGCTGGTGCCTGGTTTTTCCACCCACCCTCACAAGTAAGCTCTATGGGAAATAGACCCACTGATAGAATCTTTTCCCTATTCCTTACACTCAATAAACACTTTGCCCAAGAAAGTATTCACTTCCTCAGCTATCACAGCTGAACCTTAGTAAGCCAGACACAGTATTAGATGCTGGAGACAAAGATGAAGAAAATTCAGATTCAGGGAGATCACGGCCTAGTGAGGACATTCAGGGAGCAGCTAAGTTGCTAACTCTGTCCAATCAAG